AGCACTAGTATTGTCGCTCCAAATGACAGGCTGACTAAAGCACACTATACCCATATCTTTGAGCAAAGCTGTAAGCCACACAACATCAGTAACAGCTTCTGCAATCCCACGATACTCTGCTTCAGTTCCAAATGACAGGCTGACTAAAGCACACTATACCCATATCTTTGAGAAAGCTGGAAGCCACAACATCAGTAACAGCTTCTGCAATCCCCGATACTCTGCTTCAGTGGTGGACCTTGACTGAGCGTTGTCGTTTAGACGACCAAGATACCAGATTTCCGCCAAGGAACACACAAAATCCAGAAATGGAAACGACGATCAGGGCATGCATATATTGAGCCATGCGATTTACACTAACGCAATGTCCGGAACGTGTATGATTGAGATAATAGAGCCCCCACGACACTTCTATACATTTGAGCATCTGGTAATAGACTTCACCATTCTTACTTAATTTTGGTGATAAAACCATTGGTGTTAGCACCGGATGAGCCACGCATTCCAGCTTTGCCAAGCAACTCAGAATGAACTTCTTTTGTCGTAGAACTAACTTCTGATCATTTCGTGTAACTTCCAATCCCAAAAAGAAATTCAATTCCCCTAAATCTTTTAGAGAGAATTCATTACCTAATGATAAAACTACCTTAACTGTGGACGGTTTGATGACAGGACTAAAGGTGTCGTGGAAGTCCTGACCAGGAACTTGAGCAAAGCCTTTGCTACAAGTCTGGCTTGTCGTGCAACTGACCCATCAGCATTCTTTTTAATTCGGAAAACCATTTACATCCGATAGCCGTCCGACCATGAGGTAACGAAACTAATCGCCAAGTGCCATTTTGAACCAGCGCATTGTATTCAGTCATAACAACCTCCTTCCATATGGGTGAGAGCAAAGCTTGTTGAATTGACACTGGTTCATCGCCATCGATCATAGAATTTACAGAGAAAGCTTTCGGTTTAAAAGTGCCAACTTTACTCCTAGTAACCATAGGATGGATATTGGACATGGAAGGAAGAGGTCCATATACTGTACCCGTAGCAGCAGCTTCAGGTGGAACAAAAGTTGATGACCCTTGAAGTGAATTACTAGAACTAGCTTCTGAATTTTCAGTCGCATGTATTGTTTGTAAGTCATCAGACGAGTGAGTTTGAACAACTGAATTTGTGGGCATCATATTCGCTTGTCCCATGTTATCATATGCATTTGCAACCGGGAGAGAAGATACCGAAGTTCCACTTGAACCAGAACTAGGATTGTCGTGCAACGTAGCTGGAGCAAGAACACGATTTAGTTGTTGAGTGCCTGGAACCTGAACAATCTTGGTGTATGGCATCAAGGACATCGTAGTGGAAGCAGGAATCGACTCTATAACCTGTCTTGCAAAAGGAAAAGTGCCCTCGTCAAACTTAACGTGTCGAGAAATAAATATTCGTTCATCCGGTGCCATGCATAAATAACCCTCGTGTTGCACGCTATAACCCAAAAAAGTGCAAGCCTGTGACCGGAAAGCAAGCTTGTGTGACTGAAACGGCCGAAGATATGGGAAACAATGACATCCAAAGACACGTAGGTGTTCATAACTCAGATTTTTACCAAATAACTTACTGAACGGAGTCGAGATGTGTAGAACTTTTGTAGGCAATCTGTTGATCAAATAAACTGCCGTAACAACAACATATGACCAATACTTTAGTGGTAATGAGGCCTGAGCAAGAAGCGTAATAGCCATTTCAACAATGTGACGATGTTTACGCTCAACAATTCCATTTTGTTGAGACGTGTGAGGGCAAGTGAGTCGATGACGTATCCCGAGTTCTTGAAGAGCTTTAGTGAAAGGACGGAACTCTCCACCCCAATCACTCTGAACTTCCTTAATTTCCTTATTAAACAGTACACAAATTAATCGTTGGAACAGTTTGAAGGCATACAAAGCTTGAGACTTCTTTTTTAACAGATAAACCCAATTATACCTGGTACATGCATCAACACACGACATATAGTATCGATATCCATTGGACACAACGTGAGGAGGCCCCCATAGATCCACAAATATTAAGTGAAATGGCTCGGTATAAGTATTAACAGATGGAGAAAAAGGTAGAGAATGACTTTTTCCAGAGTGACAAGCAACGCAAACAAATTCATCATTAACCAAAGTTGTATCAACATTACATTCTCTACACACTTTGAGTAATATATCCCGAGAAAGATGTCCTAATCGGTTGTGCCATAAGCGAAAATCAACAACCCCACGAGCTACATTACACTCGGCATGATCATTATTCCTTAGCAAGATAGAGTCAAACTCATAGAGACCATCTTTCTCACATCCTTCAAGTAGCACCGCTCTTGTAGCTTCATCCCGAACTACACATCTATGAGCATGAAATTCAAGAAATATGCGGTTATCTTTGGCAAGCTTAGAAATCGATACTAAGTTCTTCGATATATGAGGAACATGAAGTAAATTATTTAACGTTAAAGAACGATCACGGCCATATAAACAAGAATGACCAATGTTGGAAATAGATAAGTCGTTACCATTACCAACCACAAGCTTACCATGTCCGGTATACTCCTCTCAACCAACGACATTATCTGCATCCGACATCACATGATAGGTGGCACCTGAATCGACAATCCATTTCCCAAATGATCGAGCAACACCATAACTACCCATATTGGACTTAGGAGCACATTCAGCCGCAGCTACTGTAGCATTGGAATCCCACACTCCTTAATAGCCACACGCAGGTGATGAGGAAAAAACATAAGAATGAGCAGCTGGATTGACAGTCGAAGAAGAACGCCCCGCAGAGACCCCTTGAAAATTTTGGTCGAACCTATACCAGCAACGGTTCACTAAGTGACCAATTTTCCCACAAAGTTGACATTGAATTCGAGGCTTACCATGACCTCGACCACCCTGGCGATAAGCAGAAAAACTAGGAGACGATCCAGTTGAAGGAACAACCCCATTCACCGGTACGTCAGAAACCTGAAGGTTCGCAAGATTTGCGCTGATCGCCAAGCTATCAGCCTCCTCAAAACCCTTATGTTGTAATTCTGCATCAAGCAACACATGCATAACACCATCCAACGTGAAAGGTTCTCTGCTAGCAGTGATAACAGCAATAAACGGTCGGTACTCCGATAGAAGACCGTTTCAAAATGGTCGCCACTTGCTCATACTCGGTCATTGGAGAACCACACGCGGCAAGAGCATCACAAAGCTCCTTGACCTGAGATATGAACGTTCGCATGCTCATTTCACCTTTACGAACTGCTTTCAAACGATAATGAAGATTCATTATCGTCGGTGTCGACTTGCTGGCAAAATACTTAGTGACCGTAGCCCATACCTGCGTAGCCGTATCAGCTCCGACCAAATGGGGAAGGATCGACGGGCTTATAGTGGACAGAAGCCATGAAGCAAGTGCACTGTCTTGTGCAACAAATATTTCATATTCTTCATTTTCACCAACCGTACCATTTCCCAGAACCACCGTTGCCAGAGGAGGAGTGACTGCACCAGTGAGAAGTTTTTCCAGGCGATGACTACGAACCGCCAGAAGCACTTGTTGTTTCCATAAGAGAAAGTTGTGTTCATCCAAGACGACACTGAGTCGTTTGTTGGTGAAGATCTTTTGCAGCGTCGCCGATGATACGTCTGTATCACCCATCTCACCACCAGCAGAACAAAGTAAGAAGAAGAAAAAAACTAAGGAAGGTAGATACCCACAGATCCCAAGACGCTCTTATACCATGTTAGATTTACCGTAAAACTTTTCTGTTAATCATTTTCAAATGTTCTGTATTTTTCATTTCACAAGCCTGTATTTATCATTTACAACCTCCATACTAGAAGAATCTATTTGTTATGCCAGCTCACCTATGCAGTTATAACCATTTTAACAACTTGGTTAATATTTATTTTATTGGTTAACATATTTTGCTCATTGGTGCGTGCCACTTACTCTCCAAAGATAAAGTATTTATTATAATATAATATTTTAATTAATTAATTAATTTTAAATAATATCTAAAAGTATAAGAATACATATTCAACAATGATTTAATTAGATATTTAAAAAAAAACAATGATTTAATTAGATATTTAAAAAAACAATGATTTAATTAGAATTATCAAATGACTTTGGTAATGAAAGGAACATTGTTCTAATGAGAGATTTTATATTCGAGATTAGCTTTTATAAGGTGTATTTATGTTCATATACTACCTTATAATCCTCTCAAATTAATAAATAAACAATTATCATTCTTTTCTCAATTTTTTAGTTGTTTATTTATTAATGGTAAATTATATTTTATGGTCACTAAAGTTTGAATAAACTTTAAGTTTGGTTACTAATATTTTAACTTACATTTTTATAGCTCAAATTAATGTAACTTTAGTAGTAAAAATAAAACTCATTCAAATTTTAGTGATAATAGATGTAGTTTATCCTTTATTAATTACAGTGGAGAGAGAAAGCACTGTTGATGCCGGGAACGAGAGCTCCAAAGCCATTACCTTTGACTGGCCAAGTCCACTACTGTAGGCTCCAGAACCCAACAACTGAGCACTAACGGCGAAGCAATTGACGCTCACTGCCACCTCATTCTCCACACCCTTCAATGGCACTTCTTTTGGGTTCAGATTTTTAATAAAACTTTGAAACCAACAAAGCACTAATTCAGAGAAACTGACACAATACTTGCAGAGAGAGAGATAAACAGAGAGAGAATCAACAAATAAAGCAACTCCCTTCTTCTTCTTCACTTGAAAGTTCAAACCTTCCATATATATAATATTTACCCAAAGGTCGGAACTTTGTTTGGGTTTTCAAATCTAATCCAATCTAACCAGTACTATTAATTAAGGAAGGGAAGTAACTTTGCAAGTGGAAACTTTGTTTTCTCTTTCTCTCTCATTGTGTCACTGTACTGCAACTTTATAAGAAAATTCAACCACCATGTCCATGTTTGCTTGTTTTGCTTCCTTTTAAATCTCATTCACACGGGACGGGAAACTCCTTTTTGAAGCATATCTTTTCTCATTTATTACTACTTTCTCCACAGTATACGTTTTATTCAAGCTCTCTCTCCCTTCTTTTTTCTCTTTTAAAGAAAAAAAGTACCTTCTTTTGTGGGAATAAATAAGATGAAGGGATAAAAAGAGACTCCTGCAATGCTGCTAACTGGTCACAACTCACCGGTTGGTAGGTAGAGGTTGTGGTTGATAAAGAGAAAGATGTTTTACTTGTAAAACCCCTTTCTTACGTTCTAAAAACCATACAAGAAAAAAGTATACAGCAAGTGAACGTTCTGTTTTTTTCTCTCTATTATGGATAACTATGAAGCAACCAGGATCGTTTTCTCTAGAATCCAGGCCTTGGAACCAGAAAACGCTTCTAAAATCATGGGTCTACTGCTGATTCAGGACCATGGTGAGAAGGAGATGATTCGTTTAGCCTTTGGTCCTGAAGCTTCACTTCAGTCTGTGATACTAAAGGCTAAGAAGGAGTTTGGTCTTCCTTCTAACTCTCCTTCTTCACCTTCAACTCCAGCTTCTCCTTCTCCTTTTAAAATTCCAAGGCAGAACTCATCTGCTTCCAGGCTCATACCATCTTCTCTCACCATCCCTACTAACCTCTCTACTTCTGGTACTTCTGCATGGAGTCCTTTGTCTGAACTACCAAACCCTGATGACTTGATCAGTTCGAGCAGTGGCTCTTTGAATCCTTCTTCTTTGCCTTTCTATGGAAACGGTAGGGCCACTGATATGGTCGATGAGTTTCAACTTCAAGATCAACTATCTTTCCTCAACGAAAGCTCACCACAGCTTAACCCCCAAAACCATGATTTCTTCTACCCACAAGCCGCTGATTTGTCCTCTGGTTCAGTTGCTGGTGCTCGTGGCACCACTGATGCCATGGGGTTCCCTTCATATTGGGAAACTTCCCTTCACATGAGTAGCTCTGTGAGTGATATTTTGGGAGCTGATGACCCGGTTTCCGGTTTTGGGTGGAGACCCTGCTTGTATTTTGCTAGAGGGTACTGTAAAAACGGGGACAATTGCAGATTTATACATGGTGGCCTTGGGGAGTCTGGAGCAGATTGTGCCGCCATGGTTGGCTCACCTAACAAGATCGAGATGGACCAGTGCCATGAGTTACTTAGATCTAAATCCGCTCAGCAACAGAGGTTGCCTGCTGCTTCGCGGCTCATGGGTTCTGCTTCCTTCCCTCCTTACTCACCAAAGTGCATGAACTCGTTTCTTCAACAGCAACAAAATGATTCTCACAGGTATTTGGTAGTTGATCTCTTTTCTATGTCCTGTTAATTATGTAATAGCTACTGATTAAAGATTTCATATTGGTTTCTGAACTGTAGGGCGGCAGCAGCAGCAGCAGCAGCTGCTGCTTTAATGATGGGTGATGACATGAACAAATTTAACCGAGCAGGCATGGTTAACCCAGCTTCAAGACAGATCTACTTGACCTTCCCAGCTGATAGCACCTTCAGAGAGGAGGATGTGTCGAACTATTTCAGGTATTTTGTTGAATATTGTACTCTTCTACGTTGGTTAAAGTATTTTGTTTCTAAAACTATTTGTGTTTATCCTTTTTAAGTATATACGGCCCGGTTCAAGATGTGAGGATTCCATACCAGCAGAAGAGAATGTTTGGATTTGTTACTTTTGTTTACCCTGAGACCGTGAAACTCATCCTGGCTAAAGGAAACCCTCATTTCGTTTGCGATGCTCGTGTTCTGGTGAAGCCTTATAAGGAGAAAGGAAAAGTCCCGGACAAGTACAGGCATCCTCTCTCACTTTGAAATCTTAGTTCGGCTGATTTGCTTACTTGGTCTAGATCTGGTAAACCTACTTTCTTATCTTGCAGGAAACAGCAACAAATGGAAAGAGGAGAGTTCTCTCCTTGTGGTACTACTACTGGCCTTGATTCGAGCCCCCGAGACCTGTTTGACCTTCAGCTTGGTAGGCCGAAGCCATTGTCTATTTTCCTTGTGATGTACACGATTGTCAGGCTAACAGTATCCGTTCGACTTGTAGGACCGAGGATGTTTTACAATAACCAGGATTTGTTATGGAGAAGAAAATTGGAGGAGCAAGCTGATCTTCAGCAAGCCCTTGATCTTCAAAATAGAAGGCTGATGGGCCTGCAACTCCTTGGTGTGAAGAAGAATCACCATCACACGGCTCTTTCTAATGGAAGTCCGTTTCCATCGCCTACTCACTCGCCAAACATGTTCAACCAGTCCCTTATAATACCTCAATTTCACAACGGTCAAAAAGCTCCACAAGGTAGCTACACAATTTTCATTTTGAATGTAACAATTTAATCGAGTCATCATCGAATTCATATGAAACGGCTTGCTACATCTCATTGCAGAGCATTGTTCCAGCCCTGTGCCGGCCTTATCTGTGAATGCTTCCGAGAAGCAAGCAGAGTGTAATGCTACTGCTGTGGGTAAAGAATCGGCTAGTTTTGAAGTCAATGGTACCAGCAAGGAGAGCCCCCATCGTGAAGATGGCAAACAACCAGAAAGGTATTCAAGTAATCAAACTTTGTACATTCAAATATCATATTGTTTCCAGTGATAATAGTCTGTTGATTTGTATAACTTATGCATCTATTGTATCAAATTGCAGTTTGGAGCACAACCTTCCCGATAACCCTTTTGCATCTCCTACAAAAGCTGCCGGAGAGTACTCGTCTGCACTCTCTAATACTGAAACCGATAGGGATGTGTCAGTCCCGGCTTCTTCTATAAACAATAATTGGGTCCGTCCAACCTTGATTCCTGCAAATAATGCATTAGACATGCCATCGTTCAATTCATTCAACTGCCAAATGCCCAGGTACATCATCATTATTATTGATAATACTCACAATATGAATTTATGATTATAAATGGAATCTTTACAAGGTTGGGTATACAAAGTATCAAAATGATCTGTAACATGAGTATTGCTTCTCAATACAGGTTCTCTTCCGGACATGGGACCATTGGTATGTGTGCAGGCACCGGCGGCCCAACTTGCCCTGTTGGAATTTAGCTTCCTATGCTACAAATCAAACAAAATTTCATATCAGAGAGATCTATAGAGACCACCACCACAGTTCACTATAATCCGAACCACCTCGGCCCTTTTCTTGTAATCGTCGTCGATACTATACTTACAACCATACAAAATGCGTACATAAAAGGCAGTGAAGGAAGTGGGTCACAGCCATTTCTTTTCTTTTGTTGTAATATTGTTATCTATTGTTTCAGTAGTTTGGACCACAGGTAAAAAAGAAGCATAGCAAGAAGAAAAAAATATCAGTCCATGTGTAGTTGTAACTCCCCTTGAACTGTAATTTTCTTCCTCCCCATGGTTTCCCTGGCAGTGAAGGAAGTGGGTCACAGCCATTTCTTTTCTTTTGTTGTAATATTGTTATCTATTGTTTCAGTAGTTCGGACCACAGGTAAAAAAGAAGCATAGCAAGAAGAAAAAAATATCAGTCCATGTGTAGTTGTAACTCCCCTTGAACTGTAATTTTCTTCCTCCCCATGGTTTCCCTGGGAGAAACAAGGAAAAACCCTTAATTAGTTCATTTCTTTTCTTGCTTGTAACTCCATGTTTGTACAGAGCAAGAAGGGAAACACAGTTGCAGAAAATAGTAAAACACAATGGGGAAGAATGTTAAATATCAGTTAACAGTACCTTAATCAAAAGATCTGCTATTTGTAGCCAGTTGCTGCTTAGTGTCAGAAACAGGAAAAACCCTTAATTAGTTCATCTTTCTGCTTGTAACTCCATGTTTGTACAGCAAGAAGGGAAACACAGTTGCAGAAAATAGTAAAACACAATGGGGAAGAATGTTAAATATCAGTTAACAGTACCTTAATCAAAAGATCTGCTATTTGTAGCCAGTTGCTGCTTAGTGTCAACCCTTCAGATAAAGAAACGGGAGTTTCAAATTGTAATCTAATATGGATTTTCATGTGGTACAAGAATTTGTCTGATTGTGTTAAAATCTTACCTGAACATGCAATGATGGCAGAATTGCAATGGCACTACTAGCATTATTGATTAACGGTGGGGCCATGTACGCCTTTAGAATTCAGATTTTTTATTTTTTTAAGGACATTGATATGACATTCATTTGAGGGGGAGGAAACTGGAAGGTCCACAAAGACATAAAAAATCACATGGGTGGCGGAAGGCTGACAACACAAGTGGACCATTGTTTAGTAAATAATAATAATAATCTATGTAAGTGCTAGGTTGTTTCTGGGGTCTTCTTCCCCCATCACCACCACTCACCCATTTGGCTCAATCACTGATATGCTACTTTTGTTAAATATTCATCTCCTTTGGCTCTTGCCTTTTACCAATGGACAGTAAAAATGACAATTTTTCATAGTTTACACAGTAAATGGGGAATCTTTGGGGATGTGTGAGCTTTTGTTTCTGCCATTATCACACAGTAAAAAATAACTTTGGGGGGTCTTTTTCTTTTGCTTTTCTACCTTTGCTGTGGCCTTGAAGTCTGTGAATGTAATCAAAGGCAAAAGAAAAAGGAAGCAAGCAATTGGCAGGGTAAAGTTGATTCAGTACAAAGCTGTCATGTTCTTTAACATGACACGTAGAGGGGTCAGTTAATGAAGAAATAAAACATCTGTTCCAGTCATTTTCCCTTTCCGCAAAAGATGAATTTACTTTTGTCCAGGGGACTTGTTTGGTTTCGGGAAAGTTACGTAGCTCTAATCATTTACATTTTACACAGGTGATCAAAATTCAAGCGTCCAACTTGATCAAAGACTTCTTGTGTTAAAATGATTAAAAAATCCATCCAGGAGTTACAACTCCTTACGTATCTCGACAAGGCTATCCTATGTTTCTAGACCCTGTCTAAATCATGCAATTTTGTGGCGGCTTGGGGATTTTACCCTTTTAGACAGTTTCGCTCCCGTAATCAGTGATTATATGCATAAATGTGTACATATCAACTTTAATGACAATAGTAGGACGAATAGCATCAGTTTCCCTATGAAATTCGGATCCACCATTTTCATCAATGTGTTCATTTCAAGGATGAATAACATCACCTAAACTTTGCCATCTTCGAGGTAGTGGCGAGTGTTTGAAGGGCGTAGTTATATACTATTTTAAAATTTTATATATTTTAGATAAATTTTTTTATATTTTATATTAATAATTTTATTTTATATACTTAAATTTTTAATATAAATTCTTAAATTCGGATATTTTAATATAAAATCATGAGTTTATTTCTATATGTTAGGGTATATCATGCAAGTAGCCTATAAGCTTGATGTAACCAACTAAATGCTTATAGGGTCTAAAAGGAGGTTCACTTTATGGGGGGAATATAAATAAAAAAAAAAAGTGCTGGAATATACATAAAAACAAACATGCTTTTTTCCGCCCTTTTAATAAACAAAAAGAACATTAATCTCACAAGTCATCACAGTTCTAATACTTTGCCGGACTGCAACAACTACTTTTAACAATAGAACCTACCCTAGTGATCCCCCTATGAAATTCACATCCCAAGATGAGAATAACCAAGAAAGTTAGCTGATCATCATCTTTACCTTATCAAGGCTGATTACCAAGAAGGGATGGTCTGTAGAACACATGAGTTTGAGCTATCTCGATACGATCTTTCGGGTCATGCATGGTTTCATCCCTTAATGCATCAAGGATGGCGTGTAATGGGGACTCCCTGAACATTCAAATCAAGCTTCATCAGCTCACACTTCTCGAGTTTTTTCTATAATGAAAAAGATCACCTAGCCAGTGGGAAAAAAGAAATCGAGTACCTCGTTATAAGTATTTTATATAGCACCTTCAAGATGGGGCAAAGCTCCACAGGAGCTACTGATTTGTTTTCTTCGGGGTGCAGGACGCTCAAGCTGGACTGACTAAGCAGCTCATAAAAACCTTTGACAGCAGAGACGCCCTGCCATAATAATAAGAATAATATTTGTAATAGGAATTAGCTGATGGGATCAGATAGAAAACGATGAAAAAGAAGAGGTGGAATCTTGTTCTATTACTAAATAGTGATAAAATGGCCACAGAATCAATGGGAAATTGATCTTTACCAGTCCAGGAATGGTCTGGGATACTTCATCTGCTTAAACGTGCTTAGGAGTTAATGCAAAAGTTTTTAAGACATGCCTCTATACTTCCACAGTCATTCTAGAGAATGAAAGCAAACATTTCTTAGGCAATAAGGCCTTTTTGTATTCCTATTATACAACATAGGTTGTCTGCATACCAGATTCGGCAGACATCCGATGATCTTGATCTAGAATGATGCTTAATTTTCGATGATTTGCTTCAAGTTAGATGAGAGTATCAACTCATCTCTTCTCAAACCAACCTAAAACTGTTTGCTCAAAATCCTCCATGGAACAGAAAAGTTCATACCTGAATCATACCCTTCCCCTTGATGCTATCACCCATTTCAAGGTTCAATACTCCGTTGGCCAGCTGTTGCCCATACCATGCATTACGACCTTTTAACAGGGTTACATAGGTGTCAGCCAACAAAGGCCCCGCAAGTTTTTCAGGCTCTTCTGCCAAGAGATGAGTGATAAATATCATCTCAGATGTACACAGTGCAAAGTATACCGATTTGCTAGTGGCGCTCTCATTGGTTAGAGCTGCTACCATTCCTGTGGAATCAATACAGGAAGTTAAATAACAAAGATTTGAAATCTAAACTTATTTCTAAAATTGAAGTTGAATTAATTTAGTCCAAAGATAAGTTGTTTTGCAGCATGAATATAGGATGCAAATGCGTTGAGCCAATGTCCTTTAGCATCTTGGAGATTGTGGAGTAAAGGTTAGCAAGTAATATCCACCACTTAAAGATCAAACAAGTCAAAATCACAATACCTACAACCGCGTAAGGAAAGTAGGACATTCACTCAACACTTTTGTTTTTCTTTTTTACTGGTTATAGGTCCTGTTTTGATCATACATTAGACAGAATTGTGTTGATCAATTCAATAAATTGAAGAATTTTGTTGCCTCTTCCAAGGATATTCCTTATCATCAAACCAATCTTGTCATATAGCCTATTGTATGACGTACAAGATGTAGCATGCTTGCAAAAAATTAGAGATTACCAGCTCCAATGGCATAGACATTCTTCAAACCACCCATAACTTCATGAGTAACAAGATCACCATTGTCCCACACGATAAAATGGGGTTGCCTTAAGAACTTTGCCAATGGTTTCCTCCACTTTTCAGCCCCACAAATTCGAGCATTAGCGTATTCTTTATTGTAAATCTCTGAAGCAATATTAGGTCCTCCAAGATAGAGAATGTTCTCGATGGGGATTTCAGCTGCAGGAACAAGAGCAAGATCCATATTGAAATGAATTTTATCTTGAAATTCAGCAAATAAGTTAAAACAGTTAATATGGCTATAGCCAAAACTTCAAGAAACAGAAAAGGAAGCTTACTTGCTCGATTGATCATCAGGGTGGGAGTTATTATGCGAGGTTCAGGCACAAACTCGGCTTCTATACCCTTTGCCAGAGATATGATTATGGGCACTGTTATTCTTTCTTTCCAATACCTTCTAATTTCCTCAAACACCACACGAGTTTCTGTTGATGGCAAGCCATTAATTACAATATCAGCATCCCAAACAGCTTCTTGCAAGTTCGTAACAACCTTTAAAGGACAAAGCGGAGTATCAATCATATTCAAGCAGAAACCATCTTTCAAAATCTCATCTGCGTACAGAATCCTATCACCTAATCTTGCCTCAACGTACTTCAAGTAAGCACACCGTCTAATCAGTCTCCTCAAAACATCCTCCCTATAATTGATCACTTCAAATAAGTGCTCAGCCATGGCCTTATCAACTATCTTTCCAGGCCTCCTCCATATTCTTATCAACACCTTATCCCTCAGATGACCATAACTGTCTTGCAGCAAAGCAGTGAATACACTACCCCAAGCACCTGCCCCGATGCCAACAATCCTCAACGGATCGCCTTCCGATTTTCCCATCAAATGCCGAAGCTCATCGAGTTTCTCTTCTAAAGAACCATTAGACCTCTGAATGGGGCCATTGGCATGCGAATTCTGATTCATTTCTTCACTAGTGCTTGGCATCTTTCTTCCCTGATTAAAATCAAATGTAAGGACAAATATCCCAAGCTTCTAATTCAAGAATTCTAGGCCTGCGATATAGAAATAAGTTCTACAAATTCAGAAGAAAAGTTTATATAAGCGATATCAAAACGGTTCAATCCTCCAAAGACAAAAACCAAAACCAACTAATCAACAACAATACAATCTGAAATCTTTAGCCCTTCTTTGACCCCAATTTTTTTTCTTTCTAATTCTG